CTGTTCCTCTCTCTCCCTCCCACTCTACCTGAACAAAAAATGGAAAAATGTCCTCGGGTAAGGATTAAAACAAAAACAAAAAAACAGAAATTTTAAAATTGAAAAATATTATATCCAAGACAAAAAATTTCACTGAGTGGAATCAATAAAAGAATGTTGATGACAAAAAACAATCATTAAACTTACAGATAAATCAATAAAAATTATATAATCTGAGGAACACAGAGAAGCAAAACATTAAAATTGAACAGAATAAAGTTGTGGGACAATATTAAAAGGCCTAACATTTGTCACTGGAGACCCAAAAAAGAAAGGAAAATATTGACACACCAAAATGAATGGCTAACGACTTCTCAAAGTTAATGGAAAGCATAGATTTACAGATTCAAACTCAGAGAATCTGAACAGAAAAAAAAAAAGAAAATCATACCTGGAGACACACTAATTGAACAGTATAAAATAAAACTTAAAGAAAAAATTTTTGAAATCAGCCAAAGAAAAACAGTGTATTACATGTAGAGGAACAAATGTTCTAATGAAGCCCTGGCCAGTTTTGCTCAGTGGTTAGAGCGTCGTCCTGCGGTCCGGAGAGACCCGGGTTCGGTTCCCGCTAAGGGCACGTACTTCGGTTGCAGTTTGTCCCCGGCCCTGGTTGGTCGTGCGGGTGGCAGCCACTCGATGTGTCCCTTCACGTCGATGTTTCTCTCTCCCCCCCACTCTATCTGTACAAAAAAAATGGAAAAATATCCTCGGGTGAGGAAAAAAAAAAAAAGAAAAAAATTTTGAAATCAGCCAAAGAAAAACAGTGTATTACATGTAGAGGAACAAATGTTCTAATGAATGCAAATTTCCACTAAGAAACTAGAGAGACCAGAAGAGAATGATACAACATCTTTAAAATGCTAAAAGAAAAAACTATCAACCCATAGTCTTATATCCAGTGAAAATATCCATCATGAATGAAGGCAAAAATACTTTTGTCAGTGAAAATAGTGGAGTAATGGTCTTCAAAAATTTCCTCCTCCTCCATAAAGGCAATAAAAGAAGTAACAGAAATTGTCAAAATTTTACTTTTTCAAAACTGAACAATTAACCAAAGGCTTATAGCAATTCAAAAAGCAATTGTTCAACAGAACCAGCTGAATTCCAGAAAGAATGGTGAGCTTTGTGGTATTTTATTTATTGGTGTTAGAGAAAAAGGAAGGGAGAGAGAGAAAAAAACATCAACTTGTTCCATTGTACCAATTAATCCATTGGTAGATTCTTATATGTGCCCTGCCCTGGGATTAAACCAGCAACCTTGGCATATCGGGATGACACTCTAACCAACTGGAATACCAGTGCCTGTGGTATTTTAGCTTGCTTCAGTCTCATGCCCCGCTCTCCAACTGTTTGGTAACTTTGAATACTAACAGCCAAACTTAATGATAAAAACCATCAATCTAGCAAATGAGGGTGACCCTCCTTCAAAGCCTCATTCCCAGAGTTTTATCATTATTTGATCTCTCTGGTCATTCCTTGGAAGACCCCATTTGCAATGCTTTCTTTCATTGATCTGACACGGAGCTTACCCAGTGCAAAAAGTCTTTTCTTTGAGAGCATTTGTTGAAAACAACCATAGGCACTTACTTAAACTCACAAATGCCTGAACTAGTGGATAATACATGGAGTAAATAATAGACTAACCAAAAACGTTTAAAGGAAAATCTTGAGAATGTGACGTCTATAAGTACTTTGAAGAAGCTCTAACATATTTCTGGGAATCTAGAAGGCCACATATATTACATATATAGAGCATGGAGCTACATGCATGCTCAGGAAAAAGCTGAGAAAGCCCTGAGCTCTCACTTCTCACTGACCTTGAGGCTGTTTGCAAGCAGAAAGTCAAAACTATGGCAAGTTGCCCACTACTTGGTTGAGTGTTGAAGGCATGTCCTAACATGCACACCGAGCCCCTTGGTAATGACTGAGAGACTTAATCATTCTAGATTGTAAGAAAATGTTTGTTCAGTCATTTATTGACCACTAAGCTAACCAAGCAGAGGCTCCGTGGCTACACGACAAAGAATACTTTTTAAAACTTTAGTTCAGAAAAGTCACTAAGCAAACAAGCAACAACAACTACAGCAAAAATCAACCATTATAAATCCTAGGGTGGGAGGTAGGCAGGGAATATGATTTCCAAGGTCCCCACACTATATTATTTAAGATGTCCAGTTTTTAAAAAATAATTAAGGGGCCTGCAAAGAAACAAGAAAGAATAGTCTATATACACAAGAAAAGCAGTTTATAGAAGCTGATCCTTAGGAAGCACAGATATTGAACTCATTAGACCAAAAATTTTAAATCAGCTATTCTATATATATTTAAGTAACTAAAGGAAATAATATCTAAAGAACTAAAGAAAAGCATGAGAATGCTGTCCCACCAAATATAGACTATCAGTAAGATAGAAAGCCAGTCTTGCCTATGCCCTACAGTCCCCCAGGCTTGGTCCCCCCATTACTTCTCTGAGCTCATCTCCCCCTTCTCTTTCCCTCACTCACTAGAGATCTGACACATAAGAAAAACAGAAGGTAAAGAAACATCTTATAGACTTCACCACAGGGATGTAGTCATCAAAATTCAGAATGTGAGAAGCTCTATTGGACAAATGACTTAGTTTCTCCAACAAACAAATTGCAAGAGCGGGGAGGGGGAGATGGATGGGGAGCCTCTAGATGAGAAGAGTCTTAAATCATATCAACCAGAGCAATGTGAAGACCTAATCTGAACTCTGATCTTATGCATACATATATGTACATATAGATATATTTTATATAATATATATGCATGTATGTGATAATGGAGGAATTTAAACCATAACTACATGTGTTACATTAAACAACAAAGAGATTACTGTTCATTTATTTTAGTTGTTAAATGGGGTTGTGGTTACTTTTAAAGAGGACTTTCCATTTAGAGATACATGGGGAAATGGTCATGGATATATTGATGTAATAACACACGGGTGGGGGGATAGATGGTGCATAGCGGTAATGGCATTGCCCATAAATAGATCATTGCAGCCAAGTACGTGTCTTAGTCCATTTGGGCTGCTATAACAAAATGCCACAGACTGGATGGATTATAAACAAGCATTTATTTCTCACAGCTCTGGAGGCTCGGAAGTCTAAGATCAAGGCACCAGCGGGTCAGGGTCTGGCAGGCGCCCACTTCTTCATTCAGGACAGTCTCCTCCCTGACCCCGCACACAGCAGTGGAAGGAGCAAGGGAATCCTCTCCGGCCTCATTCCTAAGGGCACTAATCACCTTGGTGAGGGAACTGCCCTTATGAGCTACTAGCCTCCCAATGGCCACACCTCCTAATACCATCACTTTGGTGTTAGGTTTCAACATATAAATTTTGGTGTGAGGTGGTGAGGACACAAACATTCAACCTGTAGCACAAAGTAATGGGTAGAAGGGATCCATTTTATTAGATAAAGTTTAGGTTGTCTATATGTGCACGTTTCCATTTGTCTTCAGAATCTGCCGGTGTGAGGCAGCTGGGTCAGAGGGCACCTCACAGGCTTGGAGAGCATCGGGACCCACTGCGGAGCATACAGTGCAGGGGGTTCAGCCCTTAGCTCTGGGAACCACCCCCTGAGTCCTGTCCTCAGTGCCTCTGTTTCCTCAGGTGCAGAGTGAAAATGATAATGGTATCTACCTCCTAAAGTTGTCGTGAAGATTAAATGCATTCATAGGCATAAAGTACTTGTCTTAGAGCATTGTCTGGTCTATAATGGGCGCTCAAAAAAAATGTCAGTGAGTACTATTACATAGAAAAACATGTTGAAATAAAGCACCAGAGTCTTGAAACACATGTATCCAAAATATGTTTTTAATCTTGATGAAGTTCACAAATGGCACAATATTGACATTTCCTTAAACAAATTATATAATCAGGCTCTTAGACATCAAGGCATAGCATCACCATTACAACAAAGCGTAGCATCACCCCAGAGGCCACAAGAGGCAGTGATTTCATGTCCCCCAGTGGTTTGGCAAAGCTGCCATGATCCACAGGATAGCTCTCAAAGAACCAGTCGGCTACCTGAAAAGCTGATGAGAGATGCCATCACGCTTACTGCATGTGGAATCATATAGAAAAAGGATGCACAACAAATACAGAATTAGCTTATTTTGCATTCAAGTTCATTCCTTTTGAGTAACAGGGTGTTTTGTTGTGGTTTTTTTTTTTTGGTTTGGTTTGGTTTGGTTTGGTTTGGGTATCTATTAGGATGCAAACATGTATATCTTCCATGGGGCCTTCCCACCAAGTTCTTGTCAAAAGAAATGAATAGAAGTGGTGAGTTCAGCTTCATGGTAACCTGAGATGAAAAAAATTAAAAGAAGGGAAAGAAGAAGGAGGAGAAAGAGGATAAGAAGAATGAGAACTAGGAGAATAAGAAGGACAAGAAGGGAATAAACATAATTATTACTGAAAAGGACATGAATTTACAGAAGTGCTTCTTTAAATAGTATTTACAAATTATGGATATGAGATGTAAGCAAGCTTTTAAAACAGCTGGTAGTATAAACAATCCAACAGTACTATGACCATTAACAGTAGTATTATGATTACAGCCCTCTGGATGGAACTTGTGAACACTGACCAAGGGTTGAGGGCTTTCTGAACCGGGGTTCATCAATGAGGAGTGGCCTGGCTAAGGTTTGCAGGGCCCCCCCCTTTCTGAATTCACCAAGCATTTTCCTGTTCATTTCTCTCCTCAGAAAGATGAAATTGCATCTCTGCAGCCTGCCCTAGTGCTCGGATTTCAAGCTTAGTTGTAGAAGGAACCCACTACCTCAGGAGAAAGAATGCAGTTGGAGAGAAGGATCTGAAGAACCTACCAGGTCCAGTGAGTTTCAGAATGTGGATATTAACTTCCGGATCCCTTCCCCTCCCATCCATCAGTACAGGGGCAGTCACCTTCTTCCTGGAGCCTTTTAGCAGCTCAGGCCCGAAGGTCCCTACGACGACGACCAAAGGCATCGGAGCCCACATTGGTGGGCACGAAGTCGCTCTTCACCACACCCCCAGATCTGTTCAGCAAGTCTGCCAGTCGATGGGTCACACAGGTGGCAGTGTTGCAGGCTCTCTTCTGGGCAGTGACACTGATTTGCAGGATGGAGAAAGGAGAGAAAGACTGTTAAGGAGGCTGGCATCGGGAGCCTACCCCATGGGACCTTCTCAAAGACAACTGTAGCTCTTCAACACACCACTTAAGAATAAGTGTTTCTCCTAAATGTAATTATCAAAGCTGTTAGAGCAAATGGCCTGGCAGCCTAATGCTAGGAGCCCTTCATGAAAAAACCCAGTCCCTAACCATGGGACATGCTGAAACCCTGCACTTATCGTCCTGTACATGTAATCCCTTTGGGACCGGGAAGGAGTGCTCAGCAAAGACCCAGCTCCACCCCAGGACACACATGGAGCATACCCAGCCATGAGCACCAACAACGCTACTTTCCATGGGAAAATGAAATTCCCTGAAGTCTTACCTGGAAGAGGCTCAGAGAACAGGGCTTGCAGGACCCTCTCCCAGAAGTACTTACCTGTTCCTCAGCACACCTGTTCTTGATGCTGGAGCTGGTTTCCAAGGACCACTCACCAATCCCTGTATCTAGCTACCCTGAGGCTAAAATTACTTTTTTAAATATGTTTGTATTGACTTTTCTAGAGAGAGAGAGAGATAGAAACATCTATGTGAGAGAGAAACATCCATCGGCTGCCTCCTGCACGCCCCCCGCTGGGGATCGAGCCTGCAACCCAGGCATGTGCCCTGACCCGGAATCAAATCAGGACCTCTCAGTCCATGGGACAACATTCAAACCACTGAGCCACACCAGCCAGGCCTAAATTTACTTTTAAACATAGGCTCTGGGCACTCTCAAGCCTTGGACATGGACCAGAGACCATGACCAGAACAGTGTAAATCCTTTTAGAAAATAAATTTATTCACCAAGGCTGATGCATGAAGGATAAAACAGGAATTGGACGGCTCTGCCATGATATCCTCCAGGATCTCAAGGGGCTTCCCTCACTCTCTCTTATCTCTAAACTGGTGCACGAGTCCTGCTCTCTTTTCTTCCATCCTGATGTCCTCAATATTCTCTGCCATAAGCAAAGTTACCAATACCAGCTTGAAGAGCAATGAGAGTGAAATCTGCATGCATTTAGTTCATCAGTGGGAGCAAGAAAGGAAATCAGGAGGGAGCGGAAGGATTTCCCTTGGAATTCTGAGGCATCCCAAAGTTGGGGTAGCAGTCCTTCTCCAAGCCGCTGGCTCTGTCCCTTTCCTTGCCGGGTGTTTCAGCCCTGAAGCTGATGCCAGAGAACGTGTGAAAGTTGTTCAGGTACTTCAGGTGTGTGCCCACCACACGGGTACTCAAGATTACTGCACAGCTTAGTTCTGGAGCTATCCAGGCTGCAGGGAAAAGACATGCCAGACAATACCATGCACTTGGTTGGCCCCAGGGGGGCAGTCATGCAGAAGATTAAACCAGGGGCAGGAGGGGCAGGCAGTGGGGCAGCTCCCAGGTCTTCCATTAGGAGAACTCGTACATTTGCTGAGTCAGCGCAATGCTAGGAATGGCTGCGGCGGGGAAGGGGTGATCTTTTCTGCTCAGGCCTTCATGCTCTGCAGAGAGGTTCTCAGAGCAAATGCAGGTGCAATCTGTGCCTCTGCCCGGACCTTGCCAGGGCCAGAGCAGGGGCTGATGTGTGCTCCAAGCTCAGGGTGCACAGGGAAGTGGGGCTGGGGAAGGGTGCTCTCCCCAGCCCTGTGCCAACATGCACATCTCCACAGAGCCTACACATGTGAAGGCTCCAGACCTACCTTAGACACTGCTCTGCCTGACCCCACCCTCTCTGCAAGGCCTTTCACTTCACCTTGCAAATGTGCAATGAAGACACCTTGCAGGTGTGAGAGAACAATGCACACAGGTTAAATTTCTAAAATATCCTGAGATATCCTGGATCCATCTGCTGGCTTCAAACTTACCAGTCTTAATTCATCCAATGCAGAGAAGCGTCCTCAAAGGGCAAGACCAATTCCCAGAGAAAGTGATTCCACACCTCCACATTTCATTCCCTAACAGCTTTCAGGAATGGATCTTTTAAATGTGTCTAACCATAATCCCTCCAGCTGCCCCTGAACCTCTGTCTTCCATGGGGCATGACAATGGCTGGGCTCCAGGGCCTGGTGAACAATGACAGGCTGCTGCACTCCTGGCCAGGTGCTATGCTTCCTACCTGTCAGGAATATTCCTCCATGATATGCCAAGGTGGGTGGGGAGCCTTACCTGGAGTCCTCTGTCTCCTGCTCCTGCTCCTCTTGCTCCAGCTCGTTAGTCTTCCTCTGTACATAGGCCTTCACCAGTGCAGCCAGTAGGAGGCGCCCTTCCTTCTCAGTGAGTGCAGCCAGGTCCGGTTGTTGAAGGCTCTCCAAGGCTGACCTGGGGAGGGGAAGCAAACCCCAATACAGGCTCTGAGTCCCTGTCTGGCCTCTCCCCAGGAAAAGCAGCCGGGCTTCCTGCTCACTGTGAGTTGCCCTGAAAATGTGCCCTTCTTCCCCACTCCTAGCCCACAGGGCTTGAGGCCAGTGTTCTAGGAGGGTGTTGATTCATTCACAAGAAGCCTCACTGTTGTGACTTCGGAGGCACAGAATTGCCTGATCCAGGGGCAGTGGCTAGAAGCTTCAGGCTGGCTCACCTGAGTGGTGCTGTCTGGAGGCCGCCTGCCTGGCACAGGACCAAGATGCTGAAAGCCAAGAAGGGGGAGGACTTCCCGAAGCCCATGATGCCTCTCTGTAAAAGGAGAATAACGTTACCACTGCATGAAGAGCAAGCATGGCCTGGAGCCTACAGATCTAGGTTCCAGTCTTGCCTCGGCCACAACTGCCTTGTGTCCTAAGGCAGGTTACCCCACCTCTTTATGCCTTGGTTCTGTTCATTTGCCAGGTGGGCTGCTGTGAATCTCCTAGTGAATCTCAACGGCTTGATAGAGCAGAAACAAGTGTTCTGGGACAGGATGGGAGAATTCTGGTTCTGTTCTGCAGGAAGCCAGAGAGAAGCCGCAAGCGTGGGCACGCACACAAACCCACACCTTTTGCCCCATGTAGAGATCAGGTGCGAACACACCCTGCTGTAGACTTAATCTCATGTCTTCCCAGGGACTGAGAAATCTAGGAGCACCGTCCCCTGGGCTGAACTTCCCACTAACTGCTAACTCAGGGGGAGAGGAAAACGGGAAGGGTAAACTGGAAGAGTGCTGTGGTTTGGATTTGGGGAAAATTTTTAACGTGCCAGTTACTGGTGTCTCGGGACTGCACTGGAGAGCAGTTTAGGAGCAAATCCTTGGTGCCAACACCCCGAGCTGAGCCCACTGTTGTGGTTCGCTAACTGCACTGCCTCAGGTCCAAGCCAATGCCCCAAAGACCCTCGCGGACGGCAGGCGCCTCAGGACAGCTCAAGGTTCCAAGTCCCTGGAACTAAATGTGGTCCCTGAGGACATGCTGGGCAGGGCACTCCCAGCCCAAACTCCGGCAGGAGCCTGCTCGCCCGACGGACACCAACGCGGGGGCGAGACCCGCCTATCTGGGCTCGCCCAGCTTCAGCGGCCCAGGCGAAGCCCTGGGGATGCTTGGGGTTCCATTGGTGGGAATTAGAAGAAAATGCCCTGCCGTCCCCAACCTCCCGCCTTCTCCGGAGAGGAACAGACAGCTAGGAGCAGTTATGGTGTCTCAGGGCCGAGGTGGTCCCGAGAGGCAGAGGAAAGGCAGGCAGGCAGGCAGGCAGGCAGGCAGATCTAGCAAACTGGAGGAACTAATCCAGAAGCAGGTTATTAGAGTGGAGTGGAAAGTTCCTCACCTGACGACTTGAGTTGCAGGAGAGTGCAAGTTGCTGGTCCCCCTGGATGGACACAACGCCTGCTGTGGGCGGCTTCCCCGCGGAGCTCTTGGCTCTTATTCCAGTGATAGTGGGAGGGGGTTCCCCACGAGCCCGCGCGGCCAATCCAAAGTGGCCAGGACCGACCCAGCTCCGATTGCGTCATTGCTCCCGCTCCCCGCTCCGGTCCACTGGGGAGGGGAGCCATCCGCTCAGACTGTCTTTTGCAATGAGGTCATTGCTTGGAGAGCTTGAGGGCTGGGAGAGGTTGGAGAGCTTTCGACGTCCAGAAAGTAGGGACAAATCGGGTAGTTTGGCGTCACCAGAGGTGAGGAGCCAGAGCTTCTCTCACTTTCTTGGCGCCTGAACTCTGGCCTCTCACCCACCTCTTGCCACACCAGTACGGCCCGCAGTACGGCCCGCAGCCCGGCCACCTGGACCCCAGGAGGCTGAACAGTACTCCTGTGTTCTACACGGAGCTCAGCTGCAATAGCCCAGCACAAGGAAGGGGGCTAGTGGGGGAGAGGGGCCTTGAAAGCTTGATCTCTTTGAACCACTTAGTGTCCTCCAATGACATCCTCGGTTTCCTTTCCTCCCTCCTCCACGCCCCTAGGGTACCTACCTCACCCCCGCGCACCCTGTGCCCTGCAAAAAAAAGTTTTATTTCCAGTCTAGAAGCCAAGTCTCCTTCACCCCACTTCTCTGGGACGGGCAGAAGTGGATGAGAGGACTGGGGAAGGGGCTAAGCTGGCACTGCTCAGAGTCTAGGCATCCCTTTCTAGCCGCCTAATCTTCAAATGGGAGGTTAGCATCCCCTCACCCGGGACCCTCCACTGCAGCGCCCGGCGTTGCTTTACACAGCTGCCCCGCACCTCTGGCTTGTGTGCCAAACTGCTGGGCGGGACAAGCTGCGCTCAGGTCGCTGCCAGTCTCGCCCACGCCCGCTTCACTGCTACGCGGGCAGGCGTCCAGCGCTGACCTACCAAGGAGAGTGGGTGCTGCAAGCCCAAAGGTGCCCTTCGGACCTTCACACACTCAGCGACAGACGGGTGGGTGCATGCTCTCGCGCTTTCCGCGGGGCTCAAGTCCCGCGCTCACAAACTTGGACCCCAGCCACACGCTCAGCCTGTCGCAGTCACACACCAGCTCCCCCCACGTGAGCCAGCACTCACCAGCTGTTTGCAGATGAGCGCTCGCACCCACCCCAACCAACTTCACCGGGACCGAAAGCCACCCAGCGAGTTTCTGCTTTGGGAAACAGGCACGTTTTATAGGCACAGGGGCACACATTGTCCCCCACGCTGGCACATAGACACAAGCACATCCACGCGCACGGACCAAGCCTTCCCCTTTTTCTTGAGGCGAGCCTGGTTCTCGTGTCCACGCGGTTGGCGCCCGCGGCACAGGCACCGGGAGCAGATTCCAGCTCCGGCGTGATTGGGCTGGGAGGTCAAGGCAATGCGAAATAAGTGAGGGGGTGCCACCAATCATCTGGACCTCTGGTTAGCCCTGCAGGACGCGGTGGCTGTGCCCCCAAATGCGCCCTCCCGTCCCTCCAGAGCTCGGGAAGCCTAGCCCAAAGGTGAAGGGAAGGGACAGAGGAGCCACAGGCTCGTGGGATCCCCTTATCTCTTGTGAGGGTCAGAAAGGAGTTCCGAGGGTGTCTGGCTAGGCCCTCCTGGACTCATTTTCTGTGGCAGGCCGAGTGCTCAGAGGCTGCGTGGGCCGGAGTCGCCCCTGCCCCCGGAACGCCCTTCCACACCTCAACGTGGCTGAGGGCTGTAGCGGCGGGAAGCAGGGCAGGAGGACTCCCAGGACCTCGCTAATCCCCTACCGGAAAGCGCTGCTTCCTACCGGCTTCCTTTCTAGTAGTGGGGAGAGCTCTCTGCGCCAAGTGTTGAACTCGCTTTTGGGTGCAACCAGAGACACCGAAGCGACCTTTACTAGGAAGCCCTCCTCCTAAAGCCCTGCAAATACGAGGCCCTTCTGGGCCCTTTCCCCATTCCGACCCGGGAAAGGGGCTGCTGAGTGACAAGGCGCAGCTGGGAGGCACTACCTGACTGACGCCTCTGCCCACTGCACCGACGCGTCCAGGACCTCTGCCACCATCTCGAGGTCTGGCAGAGCCTGCGGCCAGCCTCAGCGGCTCCGGGCCGCAGCACGCTCCACGGGGCTCTGGGGGCACTGAGAAAGAGCTGGGCAGCTTGGAGTGTGGGGGAGGGCGGGGTAGGAATAAAGGTCCGGAAGGCCCCAGACCCTAGAGCCTCAAGCTCCTTAGCCTCCACGAAGACCTCAGGCGCGCTCTGAGTCCAGGAGAAGCCTTCGGGGAGTGCAGGGAGGGTCACGTTGGGGTTTGGCCTCCCAGGGGCCCACAAATAGGAATTTGGGAGGAACTCGGAACCCTTGAAGCTGAGCGCGGGAGAGCTGGCAGCCTTTCCAGAGACTCTAAGTCACTAGGACTTTTCTAACGTTTTGGAACCGACAGCCCTGGGGACAGAATCCCTGGCTGTGCCCCGCTGGGTGGCCCACAACCCTGAGACGAGCTCCTGTTTGGAGAAAAGTAGACTGAAGTTTCTATAAAGGTCACCGAGACTAGGAACTCTTGTCTGCCCTCTGACAAGACAGCGTGCACCCCCAACCTGGAGACCCCTCTGAACGCAAATACATCTAGTTCTGTGCTTCGACTATCTTCTTGGGTGCTTGAATTGCACCCAGAATTATTTGACCTAATCTTCTTTCACTAGTGCCTTTGCAGTGTTTAGCGCATAGTAGGTGCTCAGCAAATGTTCAGAGAGAGGAGATGAATGAATGAACAGTTCCATGGGTTCATTACAGGAAGAGTCAGCAGTAAATTTGCAGCCAAGGTGAGTTGAGCTGCAGACCCAATTTTGATCCATTAGATGAAAAAGCAAGTCGTTGATCCAAAAATGCAGCTTTTTATTATTATTATTTAATAAAAGGAATTCGTGTCCTGGTGAAAACTTTCTGGAATTTAATATGAGAGGAAGTACCGAGAGCTTCTTTTCCCTTCTCTAGCAACTTGAAAAGCAAAACAACGCAATTTTCCTCAACCCATCCTTGTATTATATTAGTGAGTGATGGAAGACAAAGTCAATAAAATAATTTTCTTTCTAACCCGAGAAAATTACATTTTGATTTCTTTGGAACTGTTCTGAGCTTCAAGGCGTCCCCAATCAAACTAGCATAAGAATTTACAGAGAATACTTTCCCAAGAATATCTTTCACTTTTGAATAATCTCAAATATTTTGATAGTTTATTTAAAATAATTATTTTTACTTTTTAAAAATGGTAGTCCTAAATTTTTGGAGAAAAACAGATTCCTGATACTATAGCTTTTGAAGTTTATTTTTACTTACTTTAACCTACTGTGTTTTCTTTACAAATTTCCTAGGAGAAATGTTCCTTAGGGGAAACATTCGTTTATTCAAACAAATATTTATTGAGGACCTACTATGTACCAAGCATCGTTCTAGGCACTAGCAGATCACAGTAAACAAAACAAAGCCCGCCCCCCATGCTTATATTACAATAATGTCTTTAACAAGAGTCCTTTTGTATCACCCTCTACCCAAATAAAACACATTTCTACCCTATTCTCATCCTCTCATTATAGAAATATCATCTGTTTGTTTGCCAAATAGATATTCAGGGTTTACATTAATTTTTTCCATCACCCTTTATCCACCCATGCCCTCCTCTACCTCCCCCACCCCTGAAATCACCACACTGTTGTGCACATCTATGCACTTTCTCTTTTTTATTTTCTCTTTTGCTCAATCCCTCCTCCTCCCAGCCCCTCCAGCCTCCAACCCAAGCTGTCAGCCTGCTCTCTATCTATAAGTCTGTCTCTATTTTGCTTGTTAGTTCAGTTTGTTCATTAGATTCCACATATGAGTGAGATTATATGGTACTTTTCTTTCTCTGACTGGTTTATTTCACTTGGCATAATGTGCTTTATTTTTTCATGTTTTTAAAATAGTTTATATGGATCTCACTTATTTATGGAATATAATGAACAAGGTGAGCTGATGAATGAAATAGACCCAGAGACATAGAAAGAAGTATGGTTCAGACTGACAAACCTGAGAGTAGGGGGGCAGGGGGGATGGATGAGATGAACCAAAGAACTTATATGCATGTTATATGCATAACTGATGGACATAGACAACAATGCTGGGGTGGTGGGGGCTCAGGGCGGGGAGGAGGGTGTCTAGGGGGCAAAAGGAGAAACATCTGTAACAAAAGTAAATTAATAAAAATAAAATAAAATAGTTTATATGGTAAAAATACAGCAAAAATACTTTTTCTTCAAAGAGGAAAAAAGGGTAAGATTTTCTTCTTTTTTACAGCCAAGAAGTATTCCATAGCTGTTTTATCCACTCATCTACTGATGGACACTTGGGCTGCTTCCAAATCTTGGCTATTGTAAATAACACTACAATGAACATAGGGGTGCACATATTCTTTTGAATGTGTTTCAGGTTTCTTCAGATAAACTCCCAGAAGTGGAATCGCTTGGTCATAAGGCAGTTCCATTTTTAATTTTTTGAGGTATCTCTATACTTCTTTCCACAGAGGCTGCACCATCTACATTCTCACCAACAGTGCACGAGGGTTCCCTTTTCTCCACCTCCTCAATAACACTTGTTTTTTATTGATTGATGCTAGCCATTCTTACAGGCATGAGGTGATATCTCATTGTGATTTGTATTTGCATTTCTCTGATGATTAGTGATGTTGAGCATCTTTTCATGTATCTATTGGCCATCTGTATATCCTCTTTGGAGAAGTGTCTATTCAGGTCCTTTTCCCATTTAAAAAAAAAAATTATTGAATTTATTGGAGTGCTATTGGTTAATAAAATTATATAGGTTTTGGGTGTACAACTCTATAATACGTCATCTGTATATCGTATTGTGTGTTCACCAGCTCAAGTCAGTTCTCCTTCCATCACCATTTATCCCCCCATGCTCTCTTCTACCTCCCCCACCACTCCCCTTCATTGCCTTTTTTAATTTTTAATTTTTTTATTGATGTTAGAGAGACAGAGGAAGGGAGAGAGAAATAGAAACATCGATGAGAGAGAACATTGATTGGCCGCCTCCTGCTTGCCCGCCACTGGGGACTGGGCCCACAACCTGGGC